GGAGTTGAAGTCCACCCATCTTAAAGTGGCCAAGTTTGAAAAACACTGCCCTAAAACTCTTTGTATTGCTTTAGTAAGCAGCAAGCTGTGAATTGAGGGCAGGAAGAGAGAGCGAGAGATGTACCCACTGGATTTGAATTCATACAGCGGTTGCTGATAAAGTTGGATGATGGTCTAAAAGCCTATCCAAGTACAGATCTTGGGTCATTTGTAGTAGCCACCTTTCAGGTTTAGGGTAAGAAAGCTGTCCTGGACCCATCTCCAATTTTCAGCATTATTCTTTGCAATCCAACTGCGTGTTTCTGCAGCATAAAGGAATTCTGAGAGCATCATCTGGGTAAATTTCCAACATAGCTGTCAGAGGAAGTTTTGCTTTGGTGCCGTAGGGGACGTAACCCGTTGTAAAATGGCAATTGGCTGAAATTCACCTTGCCAGCCCTCTAACCTCCTTCCTTTGGGGTGGGGGGTGTCATTTTCTGGCAGGTGGACTATTTTCCAAAGCCTTCCACTGCAAAACCTTCTGTCCTTTTTATCTCTTATAAAAATGTAGGGAGATCCATTTGGGGGCATCTTTGAAAATAAAGATGATGAGGGGTGCAGGCTTCCAGCTGTCACCCCTCCCCATCTTTTCTTTAAACCAAAACCCGTTCAAAAGGTCTGGTGGGTGAGGAAGTGCAGGGGGCCCCAAGAGTTTTGGGGCTACGTTGGTGCTGCATTACGACCAAAGCATTAAATCAGTTTTGGTGATTAATGGGAATCGCTCTGCTCTGCGGTCAGTGAAGGCGATTGTTCTAACTTGATTCTCAGAAAATTTTTAAAAATCCAGGCAGAAGGTGGTCAAAAATAACAGTAAAATGGCTGCTTGAATTATTCCTTACTTGCAGGAAACAGCCCAGCTACGGCCAGTCTGCTCTCACCCAATATTTATTTATTTATGGTCAGTGACCAGCATGGTAAAAGTAATTGCCAGTTACCAGCAGTAAACAAGCCTGCTGAACTGGCTGGCTTGTTTTTTGCTGGCAGGTGGTTTCTTGGTGTCGGAGCATGTGTGGTGAGGTCACTATGCAAGCCCCACCCCCAGTGGCATCCTGCCATACTACAGGCACGTAAAGGAGGGGCTTGTGCAGTCTCATGGGGGGCCTGTAACTTGTCCCGCTTGGCTGCAGATTTCCCTGCTACCTGTGTATCAACCCACACTCACACCCTGCAGGTTCTTAGGCTATAGACCGGTTTTCTGTGGCTGTGCATCATATAATGAGAAATGCCCTGCATTGCTGGCTTTCATCCACGGGAATTGGAAGCCGCAAGATTTCAATTCCTCCCAGCCTGATTTTGTTCACTGGCTTCTGGAAGGTTTCTTAAGCTGCAGTGTCCCCAAATCTTTGTGTATGTACAGGAGTTCCCTTTTTGTTGACTTCAGTATTTGCAAAATAATGTGATAAAGGATATAACAGATAGAGTAACAGATTTCCTGATTTTTTCCCCCGTGTTGATTAGGAGACAGGTGGTGGTACAGAAAGTAGATGTGTGTCTTTTTTGTTCTCAAGTTTAAAATGAGGCTTGTTCGAAAGACATGCTGGAGAATTCAAAGGGAGATTTCAGCAAACAATGTCCTTATAAACAGGACATTTATAAAGAATAACATTCAAAAGAATATATTATAGTATCAGGGAGTGTGTATGTGTGTCTTTGTGTGCATGCACACACACGTAAAATTCTGGAAGAGCTTAATGATTTTATCACTTTTTAGTAAAGTTCTTTGCATCATTTTTCATTTAATTAAAAAATACATAGTTTTTCAATGATTCCTCTAGAGAGGCAGGTGTCTTCCTGTCCTTTTTCCAAACGTTGCTTTATTTCTCTGAAATATTCCTACAAGGATCCAAACTGCAGTCTGAATTACACGGACTGAGATCAGACAGCATGCCAAACCAGGTTTGTCTGGTTTAAACTTACCATGTGTGAACCCAGTTACTATGGTTTGTAAACTGACTTACAGTGCAGTGTGTGTGTGCTCTCTTATGTACGAGAGGTAACTAAAGGTTAGAGTCCCAAAAAGGCTTGTGTATGTGTGTTTATGCATCTGTCGTCCCCCCCATTTCCATAGTCTGGCTGGGTGGGGAATTCTGGGAGTTGAAGTCCACATGTCTTAAAGTTGCCAAGTTTGAGAAATAGTGCTTTACAGGAACAATTTGGGAATGGAAATGCAGCTTGTGCAACTTTTCAAGAGCTCGAATACAAATTCGCAGGGCATGATTGAGCAACACCCTCTGAATCCTCTTCAAAATTGAACAGCTGGAAGAAAGTTCAGGCGACATTTCCCTAGCACGCTGAACACCTGCATTCTTTCATTGTAGAAGTCCTGAGGACTGGACAGTTTAAAAAAGCCATCCCTTGCCCCATTTTAAAAGATATATTTTTGGTCGCAGTTCAGCTAATCAAGGTTTTTCTTTTCTATGGGTTTCAACAGCACAGTGCGATCCTCTGCAACAATTCACCGCATGTCCTCTCTGGTCAGTGTAGCCCGAAACTAAAAATACTGAATCAGAATTGCTTCAAAGGCACCAGGATGGAAAGACTCTGAAATACCCGTGAGGGAGGAATGGTGGCTGAAGGTGACAGAATTGGCAGAGATGGCAAAATTGACTGGTTTGATTAGGGAAAAGACAGTAACCACATTTGTTAGTGACTGGAAACCCTTTATGGACTTTTTGCTGAAAACGGGGAAAAAAATGAACTTGTGATTTACGGGTCTGATGATTAGAAAGGGTAGAATATGGAAAGAAGGGAGCCATGATGCTCCCTCAGAGAGAGGATAAAATATAAATGTATTTATAACTGCTGTAAAGATCGGAAGCCGCTCCTTTATATCTCTTTTTTCTTTTCTGTCTCTCATTTCTTATTTACTTATCACTTTTCTTTTACTTTTTCTACTTTTACTTTCCTTTTAAAATTGGTATTGTCTTCA